TTGTGCAGGTAACTAGGCCTCATTGTTTATATGGGCTCAACCCTCACGATGAACGCGTCAGCCAACCCAACACCCCTGACATGTACTTAAGGCATTTGCGTTGACTCATAGGAGGGCCCAGCATAGTGTAAGGTAAGGCTGACAGCATCCAGCAACCCAAGCCTGTTGTTTTTTGCAGTTTCGCGGGCTGGGAGGATGTTTCCGGCTTCGTGGGTGTGTGGTCAACCGAGGACCAGGCAAGGATGCTAGAGGAGCCGTTCTTGGCAGCAATTCTGCTGCATGTCTTGGCCCATGGTGGCAGGGACCTTGCGGAGTTGAACTGCCTCTCAATTTATGAAGCCTTGGTGGAGACCATGTGGCGCAGTGCTGGCTGGACTGAGTCCGGAAGCAGCTTATCTGAGCCGCCAGAATCCGAAAGAGCAGGCTGCCAGAAGGCCTTGCAGCAGCTGGCGCTGGATATGTGCTCTCGTGGGCAGCATCTCTTTCTCATCAGTGACTCGGACTCAGAGTAGGCCCTTATCTCCTTTTTTGGGGGGTTGGGGTTCCCTTAGACTCTCCTTAAAACCCAAAAAGGGCACCCTTCTTATTCCTAGGCTACTCCTGGGCCTAGGTGATGTGCCTGACTGCATCGCGTCTCCGGTGTTGCGCCGGGTCGGCGGCCGGCACGCGCGGTTTGCGCACGCCTCGCTGCAGTCGTACCTTGCGCCCAGTGATCCCCTGTTTCGCCTCCTTTTTTTTGTTCAAGGTGTCCGTCGCGGAAGTAAAATTCATGAACACCCCCCCCCCCCAAAGAGGGCAACCCTGACTATTGTATAGAGATATACATATATATATATATACATATATATATATATTTAGTTGTCTATTTCTGTATAGGGGAAACTACCCTTAATTACAATAATATGGCTGCTGGACTACCTCAAGGTACTTTGCGGCTTTGGAGATCTTGCGGCGGATGGACATGGTCCCCCAGGTCCTTGGGCAGCCGCAGTGGCCACAGGCTGGAGGATCGTGTTTTAGGGTTTAGGGTTTAGGGTTTAGGGTTTAGGGTGCTCACGTCTGGCCAGTGCAGTTTAGGGTTTCAGGGGTTGGGGTTTGGGGTTTTAGGGTTTAGGGTGTAAGTTTAGGGCCGTACCCCAAGTGCCGCTACTTGGGTTGGCATGCCTTCTTTGCTGTGTCTGATCTTCTTCAGGCGTCAGGTTTCGTTCACCCTAAACCCTAACCCCCAAACCGTCGTTGCCAGGCTATGAGGCCATGGGTTTCGTACGCTTCTGTGCATGCCGACCATCCCTAACCACTTCCCTGACCACTCCCCCAAACCACCAGCGCACAAATCCCTCCCCAAAAGGTTTCCCCCCCAAAAAAGTAGATATTGTGGAGTGGGACGGGGTCGGGTTTAGGATTTAGGGTTTGTGGTTTCGGGTTTCGGGCTGGGGCGGGCCAGGTGCGGCTCTTCCTCCAGCGTGGCCTGGAGGGCGCCGTGGCAGGAGCTTGCAGGAAGCCGCGTGCTCGTGGCCCAAAGAGCCCCCGATGCCCCCCAATGAAGGAATTTACCTTCAACCATGGGAAGGGTCCTCTCTATGGCTTGCGATATTCGTTGTTAACTATGGGTCAGTGGGCTCTCCGGGTCCCTAAGCCCTGAGCACTAAGCGACTACTTCGGAATAGGGCGGGAAGAGGCATCCTCGGAGTGGGGCGTCATGTGTCCTTCTACGACTAGGTAGGCTCTTGGGACATTTTATGTTTTCCCTTATTGGTTTTAAGAGGGTCATACATTTTTCAGGTTGTTTTTAGGGCTCTCCTAGACACAGGCATCTTCGGGGAACCCGAACCTCTAAGGCTCTAAACCCGGCCTCTTGCCTCGAACTGTTTCGCCGACTTGTCAGTGACCCCACGCCCTGAACTCCAGCGAAATGTAGGCCCCCCCTAAACCCGATCTTCTCAGGGTTGGGGTACACCCAGCTGTTGTACCAGCAAAATCCTCCACTTACCAGCAGTCGCATCCCCGCCTCAGGCACTTGTCTTGCGCGCGTTCCAAAAAGGTTGTAGGTTGGTACCTATAAACCCTAAACCCTAAACCCTAAACCCAACACCCTAAACCTTAAGCCTTCAAATCCAGGGTAGCTAAAGGCCCTCTGGGTTCCAAAGCACGGGCGCACAGGGTGCCGAATCCAACTTGGGCTTGAAATGTGAATCTAAAGTAGGCGCCCTCTTCGTGGTCCCTCTCTATTGCTAACTAGCCTGTCTCGGAAACCTTGGAGAGTAAAAAGTTGCAGGGAAAGGGGGGGCGGGGGGGGGTGGGGCCCGAAAACCTAAACTTGGGATGTTCCCCCTAACACTACCAGTCCTTAATAGGAATGAAAGTAGGGGGTACCATCCCTATTCAGGACTGTTAGTATAAGGGATAGCATCCCTAAACCCTAAAAATGGGTCTCTGGTGTGCAGGCTGCCGGGCCTTCTCAGCGAAGAGGGCACGGCGTGGCCGCCTGACTGGGGAAACCCAGAGTTGATTTGGCGTCGGAGCTACCGTCTTTGTGCCATGAGGTGGGGTTTAGGGTTTAGGGTTTTAGGCTTAGGGTTTAGGGCTAAGTTTAGGGTTTAGGGTTTAGTGTTTAGGGTTCAGGGTTTAGGGTTTAGGGTGAGGGTTGGGGTTTGGGGGGGCCCTTTGAGCAACCTAGCTGTTGTAGTTGTTTCCGACTCCTACGGGGTAAGGAGTCGGAAATTATGTAGGTTCCTTGCATCTTCTTTCAGAGAGCACTAGGGTTTCTGGCTCTCTGCACGTTCTTCTGCTGTTGAGGGAGGATCGTGAGCACTCCAAAGCTAGGACCTGCCTTTATTTCCTTTTTTAGGGTCTAGGTTCCCAAAGAATCCCAAAAAACCCAACAGGGCACCCTTTTTTTTCCTAGTACAAGGTTTCTCTTGGGTCTAGAAGGCATTTATGGTTGCGAGTACGCCATGCTTCGTCTTCCCAAAGATCGCGATAAACCCCAAACCCTCAAACCTAAACATCCTTTCAACCCTAACTGGCTAGGTCCTTATAATATAGTGTGCATATTCCCACATATTCTTGGGGTTAAGAGGATCATGTTTGGGATGTTAGCTAAACTGAAAAATGCCGATATAAAGTGGGCACAAAGTTCTGGACTGCTTGGCTCCGGGATCCTGAAGATTTACGGGGTCTACAGAATGAGACCGTTACTTGGAGGTTCATGGTTTAGGGTTTAGGGTTGTTTAGGGCTACTTGGAGGTTCATGGTACTTACTAACCAATTATAACTGTACTTATAACTCTACTTATGACCATATTAGGGCACTTAAGGGGCTTATAAGTGGGTTATAACTACAGTAACATTGTTTGGTATGTACCATGCCTCCAGGCAAGCAGTTGTAAACCCGACGAGTCCCTGCATCACTAGATCAAGGTATAGGGTTTAGGGCTCACTCGAAGGCGACACGCCAAGTGATTCCCACATGATTCCCCCATAACGCTGTATCATAACGCTGTACAACGTAAACTGCCCGAAGTACCCATTCAAACTCAATGGGCCCCGTTGTCAACCGCCTCAACGCTAAATACGCTAGACCCTAAACCCGAAACCCTAAGGCATGTTGTACTTCGTGAGGGGGGTCTTCCACCCCAAAATTCCAGAGAGCCCAAAACTAGAGGCTCCAACAGTGCCTTCGCGTGGCGTCGGCAGTGGGCGCTGATGCCTCCCTCGTGGCCGGGAGCCTTACCGACGCCTGGGAGCAGGCGTGCTGTTGAGGGTTCGGGAGTGCGCCCCTGAGTCAAAAGACAGGCGCGCTCCCTGCGCGCCTGCACTGACGCACACCCAAAGCCCTAAACCCTTAACCCCAAACCCTAGAACCTTAACCCCAAACCCTTGAACCTAAACCGTGCCAAACCCTAAATCCTATACAGCAGCCCTGTGGAGCGAAAAAGAATCCTTTTTCAACCCTAATGCTTTTTCCCCCTTGGGAATTACTTTCAATGTTTGTTCATATAAAACCCAAGAGGATGGTAAAAATGTATTTTTGTTTAAGGTTCTAAAGGGAGTATAGAATGAACTGATAAACCCTAAGGCCCAAAAACCCCCAAAAAAACGCCCAAACCCAACGCAGAAGGAGAGCGGGGGCCCTTGCTTTGCTCGACCCTGTTCAGGTGCATGCCTCGGCCCACAAGGAGCCGCCTGGAGGGTCGATAGGGTTAGGGCTCAGGGTTGGACCGTTGGACCCCCAAATAGTAGGATTCGCTTATCATAGGGACCCCAAATTAGGTAATGCTAATTTCGGAAACCCCCAAAAAGGGTTTGTTTTTTGGGGTTTGGGGGTTTACGGGATTTGTTGGTTCTGGTTTGTTTTGTAGGGTGTGTAGAAGTTGTAGGGGCTCCGCGCCTCTTCTGGCTTGCAGGCTTTGATCCATGCAGTGCTGGGGGGGGGGTTCTTATGCGTCCGCTCAGGGCTGTATTGGCTTGCGTGAAATCCCCATGCACAGCCCATAGGGGCATAGCACACACATTGAACGCACTTTGTGGGCGTGTTCGTTTGTGACTCACGTTTTGTTTGTTCCGGGTCGTTCAACCGCATTCCCTTTCTCAACCTATTGGGGAAGCCACTGTTAACTTTCAGGGCTTGGATAGACTTGCTGACGCAAGAGAAGCCACACACAGAAGAAGCATTGCATGTGGTGTCTCCCAGGCCATGCTTTTACCCAGTACAACGTACCAATCTTCCTTCGTTGAACATCGCCTTATGTCGCAACTAAAGTTCCTTGGATGGACTAAACCCCTAACCCCTAAGCCCCCCTATGCCCTAAACCCAAATCCCTCAACCCAACATACAGGGCACAATTTCGGGCTTGGAGGTTCCCTAGTGTCCTAACCCAAATTCCTAACTCAAGCGTATTGTCCCTGCATATGGTTATTTATACCTTCCTGAAAGGGTTCTGCAGTATAGTCCCTTGGGTTGTATAGGGTGCTTGTGAAGGGGTATATAAGGGCTTTGACAAACTTCCAACAGCCTCGCAAGGCCAATGGACAGCGTGGGTACGAAGCGCAGGGTGCTTTCAAAGGGGTATATAGGCGCCCCCCCCCCCCCCCGAATGACTGGCCCTCCTGGCACTTGTAACTACCCTATGACCCGTTGTAGGGTTCTCAAAAAGAGCCCAATACCCCTACACCCTAAACCCTAAATCCTAAATGGTCCCTGCGGAGTGATCCCAGAGGGGGTCTGCTAGGCGGGTGGCAAAAAAAAATCCTAAATGTCTAAGGAAGATGGCTAAAAATCGTTGTGACCCCCATTCGGGGCCCAAGCCCTTCAGCCGCGGTTTGTCCTCTCAACCTATCACCTCTCGCCGCTTGCCCCGGTATCACCTCTCGCCGCTTGCCCCGGTTTAGGGTTTAGGGTTTAGGGTTTAGGCTTTAGGCTTGAGAGCACTGCGACTTGTGGAGGACACTGGCAAGGGAGCACAGCTGTGCTTGAGGAGTTGGCTGCCCGCCAGCTTGGAGGCGCGATGGGGAGTACAGATTGCTAGAACCTCCTCCTAAACCCCCCCCCAGAGATTTGAAAACCTCTTAGTTAGGGAAGAGTCCTTAAACCTTTTAAGGAACCCTAGTACGTCTTAAACACCTCTTAGTTGGAGAAGATTCTTATTCCATATAAGGAACTCTAGTACATCTTAAGGAAAGCTCCTTCATGAAGGGGTATTAGAGTCCCTGGGCCCTAAACCCTCGCCATCGAACTGACGCGAGCAGCAAGGCACGGCAACCGTAGGATCCAAGAAGATCGAAGGGGCAGGCCCTTGGTTTAGGGTTTAGGGTTTAGGGTTTAGGGAGGTTCATGGTACTTCTTAGCCAATTAGAACTGTACTTATAACCCACTTATAAGCCCCTTAAGTGCCCTAATATAGACATAAGGACAGTTATAGGTACAGTTGTACTTGATGACTAAGTACCATGAACCTCCAAGTATACATGAGGACTTAGGGTTCATGACATCTTGATGCGTGAAGAGGGCATGCACGAACCTTGGTGAAGAAGATTCAAGGGTCATGCCCACCACTATGACCACCCTACGTTGTGAGAACCCAAATCTTAGTTGGAGAGTATAGGTAGCCTTAACCTTTTTTGGGGTAATAGAATCCCCTTATAATCCCAAAGGTTCACCTTCAGTTCCACTAGGTACTGGACAACTATGCAAATGGGTTTTCAAACTCGCATTCGGACAGTGTCACAGGCATGCCTCCAGATCGGCCTGTTCCGAAATGACTGCGGCAAAGAGCTTCATGGCTCCTCATTGCCCTTGCAGGGCCACTTGGTTTGCACTGTCCAGGTCACTTCTCCTAGGGGGTGGACGAGCTTCAGCCGATTTATGCCCCAAACCCTAGGCTCAAACAGAATCCTCCCCTGGTTCGTCCGAGCCTCAAGACATCATGGCCCGATAGCCTTCTTTTGCTGCTTCGTATCATCGAGAATTCGGGAACAAAGCACCTTATATCCCCCTTAAGAAGTAAATTTTGGTATGAACCTAACCCCAAACTTCCTGCATAAGAACTCGAAAGTTAACCCCAAACCTTAAACACAAGCCTCCAAACCTTCAGCCCGAATCCCCGGAGCCTAAACCCAAAACCCTAAACCGAGGGCTCCTCCTCTCTGCCTTGGCTTTGGTGGGGCGCGTCCTGCGCGTGGGGGGAGGCAATGCGAAAAGAGCCTGAGGGTTTAGGGTTTAGGGTTTAGGGTTTAGCTCGCTCCAATGAGAGAGGTTTCGTTCAAAAAATGGTTTGGGGCCCAAAACCCCCCTCCATTGAGGGTATCTCAATAGCAAGGGTCCTGTCTTTGGTGGGGTGGCTCCTAAAAAGATAGAATAAGATCTCTCGTAGTCTTTTGGGGCATAGAAGGCCCCCCCCCACCCATATTGGGTGCAGAGTCCGGAACCCTTCGGGCTTGCCTAGCACAAGCCCAGTGCTCCTCAGTCAAGGAAGTAGGCGATATTGAGCTCACTGCTTGGAGGTTCATGACTAGAAGCAGGGCTTTAAGTACCCTAAATACGCAGGGTAGTTAAAAGTGAAGTTCCCATACTTAGAACCCTACTTCTAGCTACTCATAAACCTCCAAGTATGTCACCCGAAACCCTGAAAATCAGCAGGGGCCCCAAACCCGAAACCCTAAACCCTAAACTTCCTTGGGAAGGCTTGCAGCTGTCAGAGCAGCTGCTTAGAGCGGCCCGCTCCGCGATCAGCCTGGAGCAGAGGAAGTGCCTCCTCTGAGACATCGAGCCCACGACCCCCTAAACCCCAGAGACTCCCATACCCCTTTTTGTAGGGAATGTTAGGAAGGTTCCTTAAACCATATAGGGAACGCTCTTCTATCTTAAAGCATCGTCCTGAATTCAGTCCCTGGGTCATTCATCTCCATTCATTAAGAGGCCTGACTTCACAGTTAAGACCCGCGCTTAGAGTTTCTTGAGGTACAATGCCCCAAACGCGATTCCCTGATTTCAATTGCATAGAACTAATAAAGGGCCCCCCTTGGATCGTCTGAAGGCCGGTGCAGCGAAAAGCCAGCCACCACAAAAGTCTGAGCTGAGAGCTTACCTAAAGTCTTATCATGGGATTAAGACTCATACCCCTAAGGCTGTACCCCTAATGATTCCCCTGAATATAGTCCTTAAGGATGTTTCAAATGAGTCCCCAAAACCCAAGGGTACAACAGGGTCCAAGGCACAACCCTAGATAACCCATACAGGAAATCACATTAGAGCCTTCAGGTGGGGGGCCCTTTCAAAATAGTCAGCAACCTGTTCTGTATACCCCCTATACAGTACTATACACATTTGGGTTTAGGGTTTAGGGTTTAGGGTTTAGGGTTTAGGGTTTAGGGTTTAGAGAAGATACCCGTTGAGCCTCATGCCGCCGTTGAAGTCACCAAGGCAGACGATGCTTTCGTGGCAAGCCGCTGACGGCGCGTCGTTGGAGCCTATGCTGCGTCAGCTGGCACATGCCACGTTGGCCGGAGTTCCAGGCCGCCTGAGCCTTGCCAGGTACCAACACCTACACCACACCTAGGGATTGTTTTGATTTGAAACTAACAGTAACGTATAGAATGTTTCAGGTCTATCTATACCGTCCCCCCGCCCCTCCCCCAAACAACCAAAAGCATCGCAGTGGCTTTGTGGCCCACACCCATACTTGGAGCGTCGCCCTGAACTCAACCCTAAACACCATGCCTCGAATCACCGCAAACATGAAGGCACTAGGAGAATGTCCCGAAGACCATTAAGACCATCGTAGTAGGCTAAACGCTGAACTCTATAAACCCCAAACTCTGAAGCCTAGAGACCCTGCTCTGTTGACTTAGTGAGGTCAACTTAGTATTTTTCAGACACCGTTTCACAGTGCCCATGGCCCAACTGACTTACCCTACTTGCTAGGGCAAAAGGGCTTCCGCGTGAGCCTCCCCTCCCTAACCCGAAACCCGAAACCCTAAACCCTAAACCCTAAATGGTCCAACAGGACGCAGCTCCCAAAAGGCACATGAGCAACGAGGGACTCCCCTGCAGTGCGATGCTCTGCATCAGCTAGTCGGGTGGCAAAACAAAGACCCTAAATGCCCAGGGCTCCTGTGGAGGCCCACTGCGGTGGCAGCTGGCGTTGCTGCTGCTTGATCGACAGGGGCCGGGCCCTGCCGAAATCGACCTGGAGGTCGGTTCGGGGGGGGGAAGGGGGGCTTCAGGGTGTTCGGGGCTTACAGGGTTTCGCGTGTAGGGTTTGGGGTTTAGGGTTTGGGGTTCAGGGTTTGGGGTCAAGGGTTCGGGGTTCGGGGTTAGGGGATCAGGTTGGATTTAGGGTTGATGGTTTGGGGTTTAGGGGTTCAGGGTTTAGGGTCCCTAAACCCTAAACCCTTGTCGGGGTCCAGGTTGCCCTCCGCGTGGCCGAAGCCGGTGGGCTGCCCACGAAGCTTCTGGAGGAGCGGCCGGGGGAGGGAGGGGCGGGGGCAAAGAGGCCCCTTGAATTTTACAAGCCGCTTGTAGGGTTTAGGGTTTAGGGTTTAGGGTGTTTCAGGAATATACCTTGAAAACATAATGAGGGCCCTTGTTATGGCTTAATCCTAAGGGTATTGGGGCTTTCTAGGCTCCAGGGGTTATTTGTGAACTTACTCAGGGTCGGGTCCGCGGAGAGTTTTGCAGAGTCTCGAGGAGATTGTTTTGTTCAGTAAGTTTAAAATTTTTTGTTTATAACATTTGTTTCACAAGACATGAAACATTGCAGCTTGCACTGGCTTGAGGGTGTAGAGTTTAAGTTCGCAGTTATAAGTCTACTTATAACCTACTTAGGGGACTTAGGGGGCTTATAAGTGCAGTTATAATTGAGGTTATAAGCACCCTGAACCTCCAAGTAGGGCCCAATCTACCCCGTAGTATTCCTTTGTTATGGGGGTCTGGGCTTCTCGGCCTTAAACAGACGGTCCAAAATGGCTTAAATCTGATGGTTTGAAGAGTATTGTCTTAGGAATGTTCAATTCAGAGGTTAAGCTCTTTCGAACGGTCTGGGTTCAAAGTAGCCCCACAAACTCTCAAACTGCTGACTCTCTACTAGGCATGCAACCAGCCGGGAACCTGATCTAACTTGTTTGGCCTGGGCTCTATGATGAAGCAGTACAGGGAAAGCACTGCCACAACCCCCCACGAGGAGAGCTGTGACACGAACAGCCCAATGAAATTTAGGGTACTTGTAACTTGTAACCCTACTTATACCTACCCATGAACCTCCAAAGAGGACCACATCTGGAAAGCATGCATCCGAGCTGCCGGAGGATGGCCACTGAACACGGCGAAGGCACGGGCTCTTCACAGGGTTTAGGGTTTAGGGTTTAGGGTTTAGGGCAACAAGGGTCAGCTTGTAGCTGTTGCTGCTTTCGGCCTGTGATGGGTCCCCTATGGCACGAGTCCATGGCAGCTTGAGGCACGTAAGAGAGTCCGGCAAAAGGGTTTAGGGCTAAAGCAGCACGGAATTAGGTGCCCCATGGCTGGAACAGTAGCTGTGAAGGCTGCTGATGATGGATTGAAGTGGCGGTTCCATATTTGTAAGGATATCATAATAGAACACAGCAAGCATATAGTAAAATACTAATAAGGTAACATCATCGTAAAATATTTTGGTGTACAGGTAGATATTACGAATAGTACAAGTCCACCAAGAACAACTTCTGCTAGTGTTGAACAGTTCTACTCTCCTAAACGAACCCGAGGCTCCCACTCTCCGACTTCCTTCCCACATCACGAAGACCCCGTACGGAAGGATTCAAAAGTTGCTAAGGGTCGTTACATGGTCTCTTAGATATGAAGCGGGGTTTCTGTTTCTGTTATTGGTGAGTGTACATAAGGTTCCTTTTTAATCTTGGTGAGTGTATACATTGGGTGTCCTCTTGGGGATACAAGAAATAGAAACCCTACTTCAAGATGGCCCCTGGGCTTCTTTATAAAGGGTGGAGTAGAGATGGATTCAGAAGTCTAAAATACAGAAAGATCCAGAAGTTGTTCTGAAGCTCATGCCTACTGCCCGCTAACTTTGGGGCTGCTGCGCAATTCTCGTTGCCAAGAAGAAAGTGGCCACACGGCAGCTGCTACACCAGGTGCTGCTCCTGCAGCAAACCCTAAACCCTAAACCCTAAACCCTAAACCCTAAACCCTAAACCCTAAACCCTAAACCCTAAACCCTAAACCCTAAACCCTACTCGCCTCAAGCTTTGGGGTACTCATCGACGTGAAGCCACCTGCAACTACTTTTAGGTTTTAGGGTTTTTGGAGTTTTTGGGTTTAGGGCTTAGGGATAGGCTAGATTGTCCGGAGCGTAGTATTCAAAGGGTTAGGGAAGCTGCGTGGTCGCTGAGTACGGGAACCCTAAACCCTAAACCCTAAACCCTAAACCCTAAACCCGAAACCCTAAACCCTAAACCCTAAACCCTAAACCCTAAACCCTAAACCCTAAACCCTAAACCCCCTAAGCCTCCCTTACCTTCTTTTAAAGGTTTTGAAGTATCGGCTCTTGGGTTTGATAGGGTACAGAAAGGGGTCTACAAGACTTCCAAAAGTAATGGCCCATCTTATCATGTAAGTACCCCCCCCCACCCCACCCACCCCCCCCCCCAAAAAAAAAAAAAAAGAGATGAAATCATATGTATATATATATAGATAAACATACATATATATATATATATATATGCATATATGATAATTATACAACGCAGAACTAACAATGAAGAACCTAAACCTGCATCAACCCTAAAGCTCTAAAACTTAAAACCCTAAACCCCAAAACCCTAAAACCCAAAACCCCAAAACCCTAAACCCCAAAACCCTAAAACCCAAAAGTAGTTGCAGGTGGAGGCAGCCAGGCAACTGGTGGAGGCCTATCTGGCTGGCCTTTTGGTCAGATTCTAAGGGTAGTTCTAAGGTCCCGTCGGGTTTAGGGTTTATGGCTTAGGGTTTAGGATTGCTTCCTGGCAGTCACCAAGTCCCAGTTGCGAAAAAGGGTTTAGGGTTTAGGGTTTAGGGTTAGGGAAGTTACCTTCGCCCGGAATATGGTCCCGTACCTCCTCTAAAAGGTTCTGAAGTTTGGGCCCTTGGGTTGTATGGGTATATAAAAGGGTATATAAGGGGTCCCCTGTTAAGGGCCCATACTAAGGGACCATGTACCCCAAGACATTTCCATTGGCAGGGTGGGTTTACTTGTAGGTTCATGGGCATACAAGTATAACCCTAAACCCTAAACCCTAAACGGGCTTGTATTTAACCCTACTTACAACACCATGAACCTCCAAGGAGGGCTTTCGGGCATGGTCAGTAGCCAGCCCTTTTTCTATGCCAAGCACCCTTCCAAAAAGCCCAATGCTCGTAATCTCGGAGTATAGCTTGAACTACCATAAGGAGCCCTGCAATGACGTAAGGCGCATTCCGTTTGGAGTGTTGGGCTTATTGGGCAATTTGGGTTTTAAGCATGTCTAGATCCGCCCTGAAGACGACGCCCAAGACTTCTGAAACATTTGCCGAGCGCGCAATCCGGGCTTAGAGAGCCCTTCGTCTCATTCGACCCTGTGTCCTAGGAGGTACCGGGATCGGGTTGCAGGGTTTGATGCAGTTGCAGGTAAGTTCTTGGACAGGGTTTTAGTCATGTCGAACGGAGCTTGATGATGGACGGGGCTGTTCGGGCTTGCGAGCTTTTAGATGAAAGGCCCTTCTACATCCCATCCTGAACATTTTCACACTTTACGAACCCTACATATACCTTATGCAAACTATAAGCCCTTCATGAACACCCTATATGAACTCCATATCCCCTATAAAGCCTATATAAAGCCTTTCTAAACCCTATATATAAACTGTAAAAACCCTATGTGGAACCCTCAACCCTAAACCCTAAACCCTAAACCCTAAACCCTAAACCCTAAATCCTCCAAACCGACCCAGGCTTGCCAGAAGCCCAGCAGTGCCCGGAGACAGATGCAGCGTTGGCCGCGCGGGCGCCGTCCTCAACTTGGTTTAGGGATTAGGGTTTAGGGTTTAGGGTTTAGGGTTTAGGGTTTAGGTGTGCCCGGAGGGCTTAAGGTGTAGGGTTTAGGGTTTTAGGGTTTAGGATATTTGGGTTTAGGCACCCTACTTGGAGGTTCATGGGTAGTTATAAGTAGGGTTTTCAGTAGGGTAACTATATACTGTTTTCCATGGTACTTTTTTTCCTGCTTCTAGCTACCCATGAACCTTCAAGCAGGGCCAGGGAATGCTTAAGGTAAAGGACTTGTCCTCCAAATTTTTCACAATCACCCAGTCGAGGGCCGTACATCTATGCTTACCATACAATAATTCTCTCCGTGTACCGAGAGTTTTTGTCCAAGCACTGGGTCTAGGGTGCTCTTACTTCGTCCTGGTAGAAAGAAAGGGGTCTCGGTTGGGAGAAAGAAGAGAGCCCTCCAAGTCCGCAGGTTTAGGGTTTAGGGTTTAGGGTTTAGGGTTGCTTGCAAAGCCCATGTGGGTGGTTGTCAAAATTATGGTCCCTTTTTGGATCCCTAGTAGAATACGGCACCTCATATAGGCTACCCCAAGAGGGATCATGATTTTGACAACCACCCATGGGGTTCGGACTTCGCGTTGCGCAGGTTGGGGATTAGGGTGCAGGCGTGAGGGTTTATGGGGAGCAGGGCTTCTATGGGTGTTACAAGCACTGGAGCCATAACAATTGCCAATAGTTGTTATATATATATATATGTATGTGTGTGTATACCTTTGATCCCTTAGAACATTGCATTACATTGCGTTGCATTGCATTTCATTACATACATACATACACACACATATATATATACATACATACATGCACCTATACATCTGTGTCTATGTATACTTTTAAGATCGGACTCGCACCAACCAAAACGCCGATTCACATGAACACAGACTCTTATGTTGCCCGCAGAGCCCGTTTCGTGGCCGGGGTCAAACTATCAGCTGGCACCCTGAAGCCTAAATCCGAAACCACTTTGGCTCAAGATCGATTTCTTTCATATACCTTGGTATGTTGGGGGCCGGAAGATCCCCAGAGTCCAAGTGCTACAGTCCTTGGGGGCCTAGGATTTTTTGCATTGCGTGTGCGGAATAGTTGAAGATGGCCATGGCTTGGATGCCCCGAAGGAAGCGCGCGGCGTTGGGAATTGCGTTTGCCCTCGGTGGGGCTGCGCTGTTCACCGCGCCGCTGACCAGTGTCTCCGTGGGGTCGGGGCCGTCTCGAGGCCCGAGTGGTGCGTCGGTGAACATGGGTGCCCTGGTGCTTTGTGCGATCATGTGTGCCTACTACATCCTCTGTTGGCATGATGCGCGGGTGGCGCGAGCTCGTGAGGCGAAGGAAGTGGAGGACGCCTCGGCAGCTCCGGCGAAGAAGCCGCGCATTGGGGCATTGGACAGCCTGAGGTTCATACTGATTGCCTACATCGCCTCCGGCCACTTCATCCACACGGCAACGCACAACCCCTTCTTGCTGAGGTTCATCTCGCAGATCAATGTAGTCGTGGGCGCGTTCTTCGTGATCTCCGGCTATGTGGCTGCCTACACGACCACGGAGCTCGGACAGCGAAAGGGCTCCAAGCGCTTGGACAATGCTGTGGAGTTCGTCATCACCCGAATCATGGGACACTGGCCATTGCACCTCATGGTGCTGCTGCTACTATATCCCCCTTGAGAATTATTTTCTATTTTTGTTTATTATAAAAAAACCCAAAAGGATTTTAGAAGTATTGTTTTTTATGAAGGTTCTCAGGGCAGTGTAGGCTATTCTCTCCCGTGTTTCTCTTCGTCGACCTCTCCTTTCACGGGGTGGCAACGGCGGCTTGGAATGGGTGCCTTGGGAACGAAATGAGGGTTTAGGGTTTCGGGTTTAGGGTTTAGGGTTTAGGCCCTAAAAGGGTGTATGGGCCATACACGTTCAGGGCGTAGTAGAGACGGGATAAGGAGGGACCCCTACAAGTACACATATATATATATATATAAATCTATATAAATATAGCTTACATAGTCACTATATCTCAGTAACGCGCACAATACCCTTAAGGCCCCTAAGAAGGGTCCCTAAACCCTCAACCGTTATAGTCATAAAAAAAGTCGTATCAGGTATATGACCTGAACTTTAGGGTTCGTTTCTTCCCCGAGGTTCATCTCCATCTTCATGCTCCAGGCATGGTTCCCCACCTCCGCGGAGGTATGGAATCTAGATAGGCCCATGGGATGTTTTTGATTTTGTCCGGTTTAGGGTTTCGGATTTAGGGTATAGGGTTTAGGGGAGAGAGAGAGAGAGAGAGAGAGTTTCGGGTGTAAGGTTCTAATTTTCCCTTATTGGGTTTGGGAGGATGATCTTTAGGAATATTGTTCCAGAAGGTTTGTTTCCGGACCGCCCGAGGAATGCGCCCACTTGGTTCCTCTCGGCGCTGTCCTTCGCCCTCATGGTGCTTCCCTACGGACTTCGCATCCTCGCTGGGCAGAAGAAGGAAGAGCTCAGGAGACTTGGTAGCCCAGTGGTACCCTTTTACCCTTGAGGGTTTAGGGTTTAGGGTTTAGGGTTTAGGCTTTAGGGTTATAAAGTCACAAAGCCCACCAATCAGGGTACCCTTATTATCAGATGGTTCCTGGGCTACCAAGGAGAAGCCTCGTCATCCTAACTCTGCTGAGCTTGGTGCCCAAGGTGGCCTACGCGGTTTAGGGTTTACGGCTTAGGGTTTAGGGTTTAGGGTTTAGGGTTAGGGTTTAGGGTTTAGGGCTTAGGGCTTAGGGTTTAGGGTTTAGGGTTTAGGGTTTAGGGTTTAGGGAGCCAAGGTGGCCTACAGCAACGACCTCCATGCCTGGGGCATCATGGAGGGCATGCTGAATGCAACTCGGCAGGCTATGTTGGGATGATTTCATGTCTTTGCCCTTCTTGGGTGTAAGAGGAGAATCTTCAGGAATCCCTAAACCGTAAACCCTAAACTCTAAACCCTAAACCCTCAGAGGGTTCCTAAGGGGCGACCCCACTACCTAATGAAGGAATATACCTTAAAGTCATACTATGGATCCCTATATGGTTTAAGGAACCTAAACCCTAAACCATAAGCCTTAAACCCTAAACCCTAAACCCTCAGAGGGTTCTTAAGGTTCTTAAGGGGCCATCCTAGGCCAAGACCCACCCCAACTACGCGCTCTTCAACAGCGTCCGCTTCAGCCCCCTGGGGGCGCTGTTCGAGGTCCTCATGGGGGCCGTGGCCTGCCGCCTGGTCATGCTCCTTGGGGACGAAATCGTGTAGGGTTTAGGGTTTAGGGTTTAGGGTTTAGGGTTTAGGGTTTAGGGTTTAGGGTTTTGGGGGGTTGTAGTCGCACAGGGCGTATGACCCCAATGTTAGGGTTCACGTCGACCGCAAGGTTGGACAAGCCGCAGGAACAAGTGAGGCTTGTCAGCCCAGTTGCATTTTTTTTTTTTTTGTGGGTCTAGGTTCCCTTAGAAAAAAGCACCAGCAGCACGAAGGGTATCCTTACTAATACTATTATTACGATTCTTCTTGTTATTGTTATTCTCATGATGATGAGGATGATGATGATGGTTATTCCCCAAACAGTCAGTCTACTGTTGGGGTTCTAAATTCATTTAAGGATTGCCGACATTCTGAGGACTGTTGCCGGGTTTCTGGGTTCCTTGTCTCTCTTTGTGTTCCTCGCCTCCCTTTGTCTCCCTTCGTCTCCTTTGTCTCCCGTCGTCTCCACTGGTTCTTTGATGTGCCATTGACTGTTTGAGGTCTTCGGTGGTGAAAATTAATTATGATAATGTGTTTTTATGGCTACTGGGCCACCAAGGAAGTCGCCAAGCTCCTTGGCGCCATTGCTCGCCATGATCGGAGTCCTCGGTCTCCGCGCCACGGGCGCGGTTGAGCTGAACGACATGCTCACGCGCAGCGCCATCTTCATCCCCTTGCGGCTTGGCAGCCCAGAGGTGCCCTTTTTGCCTTGTTCTGGGTTTCTAGGTTCCCTTCTGAAAGGAATCAGCTCCCCCAAAATAGGCCTGAACCCTAAACCCTCAACCCTAAACCCTAAACCCTGAACCCTGAACCCTAAACCCTAAACCCTAAACCCTACTAATTTGGCTCCTGGACATGCCCAGGTGGATTGTGTTCCTGATGCGCATCCACCGTGAGTCAGCCGCCCCAGGAGGCTCCAAGCTCTTGCCGAACTTTTTCTGCAACTTGGGTCCGGTTTAGGGTTTAGGGTTTAGGGTTGCCAGTGGCTACTAAGTGGGTCTAAGAAATATTCCACATACCCCTTGACCATTTCCTGAAAAGAAATTCAGGGCTACGGTATGATAAAGTCCTCCCTTTTATGTATGCGAATATGTATACATATATAAGACATATGTATATATATATATTTATTTATTTATTTAAATATAAATTCTTATACATATATATATATATGTTTATATTTATTTGCCTTTTTTTTTCAAGGTTGAGGGGTACGGGTTTTGGGTATTAAGAATTATTCTTTCAAACTTTAGGGCCCTTGGGAATTTCTTGTTATTTGCCCGGCTTAGGGTTCGGGGTTTAGGGTTCTAGGTAAGCCTGCTGCAAAAGGGTTCTAGGTAGGGGCTTGCTTTTCGTTTTTTCCTTTATATTTGGTTTATGAGGATCATCTTCATGAATCTTGTTCAGGGGGTTTTCAAGCGCCATCCTAGGCAAGCAGCCGCTGGTTTTTCTGGGCGGAATTTCCTTCCCCATCTTCATCGTGCACCAGCCCATCGGCCAGATCTTCTACAAGAAGGCTGTCGCTACCGCAATCTTGGGCCACAGCCTCGCGAGTCCGCAGCCAAGTGGCCTGCACTGGTTCTTCGGCGTCTACTGGCTCATCGTGCTTTTTGTTGCGTACTTGCTGCAGAAGCTCTTTCTGGAGAGCACGCGCGTGCAAAACGCGTCAAAGTCGACGGTGACCTTTCTCATCAGCAAGCTTGGTGGCTGAGGGCAGGGCAGCTCCTTTTTCGGGAAAGTGTCAGCGTGAACCCAGTGTGAAAGGTGCGGTGCAAAGGTCGGGCCATAATGCAACGCATCGGTTGTGTTAAGTTAGAGCAGCTTGCTTGCAAGAAAACACCACAGAATCCGCTTGTCTGCACGGCCACGTTGACAGCATTCCCGGCGTAGGTCTTCATCTTGCAATGGCCGGCTAAACATGGGCACAAATGCGTAAGCAGCAAAATGTCCTCTAGCCACAAACAGCCAGGCCACTGCCGCATCCGATGCACATCCGACGTGGCACTTGACGTCTGGAGCATAGGCACTTCAGCCCTAGGTGCATTGCCGCAGACAGTGATGTGCATCTCTTTTTTCCGCTGCTGTCACCTTCGCAAGCCTGTCTTAGAGTTGGAACCACACAGAGAAGATTAGCATGGCCCCTGCGCAAGGATGACGCGCACAACTCGAGAGGTTTTCCAAGCTTTAGCAATTTTAGCCGTGCCCTAAGAACGGCAAGCTCGCTGCATGTCTGAGAAGTGACCTTAATAAGCTCACTTGCTACCTTTAAAAGATGTGTGTGCGGGCATCTTCCTAAGAGGGAGGTCGCCATCGTGGTTGAAGACTGTCGCGATCGAAGAGTGTTTTTTCCAGTGTCTTTGATGGTTTGTTGTCTGGCCTAGTTTGGTTACCCTGAACCCTAAACCCTAAACCCTAAACCCTAAACCCTAAACTGGTTGTTGTCTTTTTGTTTGATCCATCAGCTCTTCGATGTTTGAAGTTATCCGACATGTCGTTCCACATCGAGCGGTTCGGCCACCTATGCGAATGGCAGAAAAGCATGAACGTACCAATTGCTTAAGAACACCCAACAAGAACAGGAAAAACTATTCTTCCTTATAAGAGGAATATGAGGCTTATTTAATTTTTAGTTTTCTGGGGGTTCTGAAGCAAATAGTAGGATCTGAGCAAGCTCTGTTTTTAACACCGTAGAAAGGACGAGATCCTGCGCCCACGACTCCCACAAGAAAGGGGGCCCCAGGTTGGAGGCATAGTTTTGCAGGGACGTTAAGTACTCTCAGGTTTAGAAGTCCCTCCACTATAGCTAGTAAGCGCTCAAGTCTACTGTGTAAACCCTAACAACCATACGCCTTCAACCTTAGTCTGTACAGTACACCCTAAACCCGAAACCCCAAAGCCCAAATAAACCACTCCCTGTAATCTAAGGTTGGAACCATGGGGCCTTAGTATGGTCCCAAACCCTTGTTCGTAGGGATCCGAAGACGTATGGGCCCTTAGTATATCTATATATGGGTGGTTGTCAAAATTCTGGTCCCTTTTTGGATCCCTATTATAATACGGCACCTAATATTTAAGGGTACCCCAAAAGGGATCAGAATTTTGACAACCACCCATATATATATATATATAGTGTTAATATAGTGTATATAAAGGTTAGAACAAGGAACCCAAATGAAGGGCCCATGGTTGGAACCCTAAACCCTAAACCCTAAACCCTAAACCCTAAACCCCAAACCCTAAACCCTAAACCCTAAACCCTAAACCCTAAACCCTAAACCCTAAACCCCAAACCCCAAACCCTAAACCCTAAACCCTAAACCCTAAACCCTGGGACCCAAATTAGGGGCCCTAGATTTGCAAAGCCTAGACTCAAGCGTCCGGCGGCATGCCAGGTTTCAGCCTTCGCGGGGCTGGCGCAGAGCTTCCAGTCTTCGGACATCGAGCGCCCCATGGCTTAGAAGGGTGTGGGGTTTAGGGTTTAGGGTTTAGGGTTTAGGGTTTAGGGTTTAGGGTTTAGGGTTTAGGGTTTAGGGTTTAGGGTTTAGGGAAGCTTTGGAATTCAGTGCTCAGGCTTTTTGAGGCTTGGGTTTTCCGAGTTCGGGTTGAATATCAAGGGATCCTGGCGAGGGGGCGGGGCAGGCATTGTAAGTGAACAGTGAACATGTTCTTCGGGAAGTTACATGGCCCCTTCTCAAATGTTAAAAGGGTTGTGAGGTGTGGGCCCTTGGGTTATATATACATATGTACATATATACATATATATATATACATGTATACACACACACACATATATATATATATATATATATATATGTGGTAGATAAGGGTTCCCCAATCATGGGCCTATTTGAACTGACCATGTAACTACCCTAGGAGTGTTGGAGGGCACCTTATAGGGAGAGTCACGAGAGCCCTCAATTGGGTAACAATGATTGCAACTTCGGCTACAAGTCCCCTAGTTGTACGTAGCAAAGTAAACCCCCGAAAGACCCCAAATACACCTAAGTAAAGGAAAGATGCCCGAAATCATTATTAGGCTCCCTCTACCGCCTGTACGGTTTCAGCTATATTCTTTGTAACTGAAGGGTATTGGTCTCTCTGGGCCTCAGCCCTCAACCCTGAACCCTAAAACCTAAACCCTGAACCCTACACCCTAGCCCTAAACCCCACACCCTAAACCCCACACCCTAAACCCTAAACCCTAAACCCTCCTCGCCCAAGGCATGCGCAACTCCGTCCAAGCCGGAGCTGCCTTGGGCTTGCCGCAAGTGCCACAGCTGCAGGTTTTAGGGTTTAGGGTTTGGGGTTTGGGTTTTCGGGTTTAGGGTTTGGGGTTTAGGGTTTAGGGTTTGGGGTTTAGGGTTCAGGGTTTAGGGTTTGGGGTTTAGGGTTTGGGGTTTGGGGTTTAGGGTTTAGGGTTTGGGGTTTGGGGTTTAGGGTTTGGGGTTTGGGGTTTGGGGTTTAGGGTTTAGGGTTTAGGGTTTGGGGTTTGGGGTTTAGGGTTTGGGGTTTAGGGTTTGGGGTTTGGGGTTTGGTGGGCGTCTGGCAGTCAGCAAGTCCAGCTTCAAAAACGGGTTTCGGGTTTAGGGTTTAGGGTTTAGGGGTTCAGACAAACCCTAAAGCTTAAGCGTCAAGCTTTGCATACCTTAGCGGTTTGGGGGGGATTTTGGATTTTTGGTGTTGCCCCTGCGTGTCGGTGCATGCTAAGAAGGTCCGGATTGATTTAGCAATCTAGCCTCTCGCCATGACACACCGGTGCTCCACCATCACTCGCTGAACTTCTACGTTGCATGTCGGGTTCTTGGCCCTAAACCTTAGAGATTTCTTGCGAGTGCTGATCACTGGGCTCTCAAGTTCTAGACCTGATTCATACCTGGGCTCGACTCACGGAACTCGGCGTGTGACTGCTCATAAAGGTCTCAGGCGTAGGGATCTGCGGATGAAGAAGTTCAGAGGTTTAGGGTTTTAGGTTTAGGAATCCTAGCTTCTGAAGGTTTCGGAATCCTGGCGTGAAGCTGCTTCCATTCTCAAGCAAAGGGTTTCGGGTGAAGTTGAGGGGGTTCAGGTTTAAGTGAGGTTTGGGGACAGTCTGGGTTCGAAAAGATTCGGTTTTTCAAGTTTTACACTAAACCCGAAACCCTAAACTCTAAGTTTTTTTCACTAAACCCGAAACCCCAGAAAGCCCTCATAAAGAGATGTAGGTGCGCGAGCTGGGGAAGCGATTCCCGCAAGAGCAAAACCTCAGCAGCATGAAGATCTGGAGGGTTCATCTTTAGGGTTTAGGGCAAAAGGGTTTAGGGTTTAGGGTTTAGGGTTTAGGGTTTAGGGCTACTTTTAAGAACCCCAAAGCCTACTTCAGTGAGCTCCTAGTAAGAGGTGTAGGGTTAAGGGCTTGAGATATCTCTGGGGCAATTCATGGTCCTGTGGCACGATCAATTTTGCATGTTGGGGACGCCAAGCAGCCCATAATTCGTTTAGGGTTTAGGGTTTAGGGTTTAGGGCTACCTTTAAGAACCCCAAAGCCTACTTCAGTGCGCTCCTAGTAAGGGGTGTAGGGTTAAGGGCTTGAGATATCTCTGGGGCAATTCATGGTCCTGTGGCACGATCTCACCCCTGCATGTTGTGGACGCCAAGCAGCCCATAATTCGTTTAGGGTTTAGGGTTTAGGGTTTAGGGTTTAGGGTTTAGGGTTTAGGGTTTAGGGCTACTTTTAAGAACCCCAAAGCCTACTTCAGTGGGCTCCTAGTAAGGGGTGTAGGGTTAAGGGCTTGAGATATCTCTGGGGCAGTTCATGGTCCTGTGGCGCGATCTCACCCCTGCATGTTGTGGACGCCAAGCAGCCCATAATTCGTTTAGGGTTTAGGGTTTAGGGTTTAGGGTTTAGGGTAATCAACGCCCTTTGAAGCCGAATCAACCCTGAGCCCCCCCCCTAAACCCTAAACCCCAAACCCTAAACCCTAAACCCTAAACACCAAACCCTAAACCCTAAACCCTAAACCCTAAACTCCAAGCCCTAATCGGTCCGAGGCCTTGCTGGAAGCCTCCGAGGCCTGCTTCTTTGCAAGGCGGGCCTTTTTTGGGGGGAGCTCGGGTTTAGGGTTAGGGTTTAGGGTTTTAGGGTTTAGGGTTTAGGGTTTAGGGTTTAGGGTTTAGGGTTTAGGGTTTGGGGTTTAGGGTTTACGGTTTACGGGTTAGGGTATGTATGGTGGTTGAAGTCGCAGAAGTCCCATCAGGGGCTGCATTGCCATTATCATGACCATATAGAAGAAGCCGAATGTGAGTTGAGGAGCATGGCATAAGCAAAGTGTAGTTGAGTCTTTGGGTCCGGGGTTTAGGGTTCAGGGTTTAGGGTTTGGGTTTTGGGGTTTAGGAAACTGGAGACTACCACGAGTGCTGGGTTTGTGCCTTGCGCCCGGGTCTCAGCATACTTACCCGGCAGACTTCAGAGGCCTGGATGTAAAAGGAAACTGGAGAGGCCTCAAGCATGCTAGGGCTTCGGATGTAAAGCCCAAACTAGAAGTCTAGGCCACCACCATTCCCCCAGCCCGGACTCTTTGCACGTGTATATGCATGTGTACATGAAATTTCAGGTATTCTCTGTATGTAAGACCTTGTGTAAAGTCTCCAGACCCTTTTGACGGGTTTACCCAACACCCCCGTCCTCAAATCACACCCAGCGAGCCCTTAATACTTGGAGGGTCATGGGTAGTT